GTTGAGCAGAGGCTGTGTATGTTTTGATTCTACAAAGCTGTGTCCATCATAACATTCAATATTCAATGAATTGCATTAATTCTTGCACCATGCAATCAATGATCAGTTCTAAACATGTATTTGACGTCTCTGTGCTCATGGTCTATTTTCTTGCGCGCATATGACAGACAGTTGGTGCTTGGTGGTCGGAGCACGTCTCTGGAGCCAGAGGAGCGTATATTATGGTGCTTTCAAGACAACTGGTTACTCTGAAAAAAATGAGATCAAATCATGACATCCCTTATCTTTAGGTCGGAAAGTCGGAGCTCTACAAAGAGGCCCGAGTTCCCAACTTGGAATTCCGAGTTGGATGACCGTTCATCGATTTTTGCCAGTCGGAGATCGTTTTCTCGAACGTACTTAAGTCGGAAGTCAGCGATTTCCCAGTTGTTTTGAACGCAGCATTAATCCTGCTGTAGGACTCATTGCGGCCTGCACTAGCAGGTCAAACGAACGAGTCACTCAAAAAAACGAATCATGACTCTCGAGTCAGTAAAAATAGTTGTTTTAAAAAGAATGAATCGTTCGTGAACTGCACATCACTACAGGACACTGAGGTTACTACCCCTAGTGCAATGGGATTTTTAATAAAAACAGATTCAGGACACCCGTTTAAAGTCTCATCCGAAAGACGGCATCCTACGCAGGGCAATATCCCCTTCACTGCCCTGGGGCATTGGGATCTCTGTAGACCAGAAGGAAGAGTGCCTCCTACTGGCCCTCCAACACCACTTCCAGCAGCAGTATCTGGTCTGACCAGGACCGACCCTGCTTAGCTTCAGAGGCAAGCCAGCAGTGGGATGCAAGGTGGTATGCTGCTGGCTTCACATACAAAAAAGCACAGATTCGCACACTGCACGCATACACACACTGTACTGCACGCATACCCCACACCCCTAGACACACACACACACACACACAGCCAATCCCCACCCTGTCTTGGCTTGGACCCAGAGTTTCCCCAGCAGTGTACACTGGCCCCCCTCTCTCGGGCCGTTGGGTCAGAGGGGCTGCCAGTGCCAGGCTGTCTGTACTGATAAACACACAGCTAGCTCCTGTCCAACTCCCCTTTTTGTTTGGAGGCTGGTTTAGTCCGAGCTCTTTCTGTCTCTTTCTGTGTGTGTCATCTAACAGTTGAAATCTAGTTAGAATGCACTTTTAGTTGGCAGCATGTCTCAATTGTCAATTTCCTCATTGTGCAATTGCTCTTGTCTATAACAACTCACAGCAGAGGCCAGCAGGGTATGATAAGACAAGATTGCATAGCCTACATAGACAAGGTAAAAGGTCAGGTGGAGTGGTAAAATTTAGCAGGTGCTCTTTCTGTTGCACAGAGGTTGATATGCTGTATAGGCTGACCTATTTGTGGGGAAACTTTGGTATACTTTGTCTTAAATGTGTATGAGTAAGATTACCAACCCCACCCCTCCTTAGTTGAACCGCTTCCTGTAAAAGTGTGACTCAACATGGTCTAAATCACCGGACAGCAGACTGAAAGTGTGTGCATGGTGACTGTAAAGCTTACCGTATGCTTCCCAGTCTAAAGAGTTCACGTACACTACCAGTCAAAAGTTTGGACACACCTACTCATTCAAGGGTTTTTCTTTATTTTTACTATTTTTTACATTTGTAGAACAATAGTGAAGACATCAAAACTATGAAATAACACATGGAATCATGTAGTAACCAAAAAAGTGTTCAACAAATCAAAATATTTTGTATTTGAGATTCTTTAAATAGCCACCCTTTGCCTTGATGACAGCTTTGCACTCTCTTGGCATTCTCTCAACCAGCTTCATGAGGTAGTCACCTGGAATGCATTTCAATTAACCTTCTTAAAAGTTAATTTGTTGAATTTCTTTCCTTAATGCGTTTGAGCCAATCAGTTGTGTTGTGACAAGGTTGGGGTGTATACAGAAGATAGCCCTATTTGGTAAAAGACCAAGTCCATATTATGGCAAGAATCGCTCAAATAAGCAAAGAGAAACGACAGTCCATCATTACTTTAAGACATGAAGGTCAGTCAATACGGAACATTTCAAGAACTTTGAAAGTTTCTTCAAGTGCAGTTGCAAAAACCATCAAGCGCTATGATGAAACTGGCTCTCATGAGGACCGCCACAGGAATGGAAGACCCAGCGTTACCTCTGCTGCAGAGGATAAGTTCATTAGAGTTACCAACCTCAGAAATTGCATCCCAAATAAATGCTTCATAGAGTTCAAGTAACAGACATCTTAACATCAATTGTTCAGAATGGACTGTGTGAAGCAGGCCTTCATGGTCGAATTGCTGCAAAGAAACCACTACTAAAGGACACTAAGAAGAAGAATAAGCTTTCTTGGGCCAAGAAACACGCGCAATGGACGTTAGACCGGTGGAAATTTGTCCTTTGGTCTGGAGTCCAAATTTGAGATTTTTGGTTCAAACCGCCGTGTCTTTGTGAAACTGCATGTGTAGTTCCCACCGTAAAGCATGTAGGAGGAGGTGTTATGATGTGGTGGTGCTTTGCTGGTGACACTGTCTGTGATTTTATTTAGAATTCAAGGCACACTTAACCAGCATGGCTACCACAGCATTCTGCAGCGATACGCCATCCCATCTGGTTTGGGCTTAGTGGGACTATCATTTGTTTTTCAACAGGACAATAACCCAACACACCTCCAGGCTGTGTAAGGGCTATTTTATGAAGGAGAGTGATTGAGTGCTGCATCAGATGACCTAGCCTCCACAATCCCCCGACCTCAACCCAATTGAGATGGTTTGGGATGAGTCGGACCGCAGAGTGAAGGAAAAACAGCCAACAAGTGCTCAGCATATGTGGGAACTCCTTCAAGACTGTTGGAAAAGCATTCCAGGTGAAGCTGGTTGAGAGAATGCCATGTGTGCAAAGCTGTCATCAAGGCAAAGGATGGCTATTTGAAGAATCTCAAGTAATAAAATATATTTGTTTAACACTTTTTTGGTTACTACATGATTCCATATGTGTTATTTCATAGTTTTGATGTCTTCACTATTATTCGACAATGTAGAAAATTGTAAAAACAAAGAAAATCCCTTGAATGAGTAGGTGTCCAAACCTTTGACTGGTACTGTATATTTTATGATGAAATTGTAACGTTTTTGGGGTTCGGTCGTTTTCTGGGGGGCTGTTCGAGCACACTATTTTTTTCCTTAAGTCCAAAGTCCAGTAGCCGACGTATACGCTCCTTCGTCGGTGATTGGTCAACTAGAGATTCTTCAATGGTGTTTGTTGTCATTCAACGACAGAACTACGTTTCAAGCACATTTTTACACTTGAGAAATACTGCAACCATTAAAATTGTGCGACTAAGACCTCTGCAACACGTCAATTTATTACAGATTTCTTGAGTTATCTTAGATTAATTCGGACAATTTTGAGGAAGTGTACTTATTACTACAGCGTCTCGAGGGACAAACGGTAATATTTCTCGTTTTTCAAGCGAAGGTATTTTAAGGGAGTATGTGAGCACATACGTTCACTTCGCCTAGCCGAATTCTGCTATCAGCAAACCAAACCTATGTTGGCTTTGGTTTTTCTTTTTCGATTTCGAGGTTAGATTTTGTATTATGTTGACAAGAACAATGGAAATATGTGTCCTCAAAGATGGAAGGAGGTGGCGAGATCAGTTGGGACCATTCTAGCCAATGAGAGGGCAGATACGTGTGAACAACTAGCAGTCATTCGATCTTCTCAGTGTAGCAGTTGGGATAACGGGACAATTCGGAGTACAACTCATTTCTCATCCCTGGATTGAGGTATGTTTTCCGAGCCATATCTTGCCCCGGCTCCGCGGTGTCTTAACATACACAGGAATGCTGTCCGACCCTAGTGCAGCTTTAAGCAAGCAGGTCTGATCTGCTGGCTACTCCAATGACACAGCTGACCACTGGCCACTAACACACAGTTGAAATATGATTTTAACAATGTAGCCAAGATCTGCATATATATGCGATTAGCCAGTAGATAATCATTTTTTTTGTTATTGATTTTAAGGATATTCAGTTAGGGCTTTACCCAAAAAACGATTTCCAAGTCAAATGCATTCTTTTAAAGGAGCAATCTGAAGTTGCTACATCAATTTTTGGATTTCAAAATTAATTCATGAAGAATTTAATTTATAAATGCCTCCATGAGTTTATTTCAACTCTCTAACTCTAGTGTTTGTAAACACACTGCATAGCTTCAAATCATAGTTTTAACTATCATGGACGGTCAGTCCTTGCATCCATAGCCCTGTCTATGAATTCGAAACTGGTTACATTTCTCCAGGCCCATCCCTAAGCTGTTTACCCAAAAAGATGGCGGGCCTGACTGCTTCGTTGTTGTTTGAGCTGCAGATGCCCCTTTTAAGACGGTCTGCCTCCCAACAGATGCAACTCACCCAAGGATGATTCTGTTATCATGTAGCTTGGCTAACACTATTTGACAAATGGGGAAACTTCAGAGGAACAGTGACGAGGCAAGCACTGCTCAGGAGAAGGAAGCGGTCAGATTGAGATGAAAGGCTCTGTTTTATTATGCTCTATCCCCCTCGAGTGGTCATCAATAGCATGACGCTCAACCATGAATACCTATTTGAGTCCATTGACAGCCATTTGGAATCGACCACTCCAATTTCAGTGCATAATACTAAACATGTTAACGTGCTTCAATTAAGTGAAGTCAATTAACGTGAAGTCAATTAAAGAGATTGAACAGGATCTTAAGTACTTAGAAATTCGTAACATATCATACGAATTGCAAAAAAATAAAACATAAGATGTAACACATGAAATTGATGACGTTGTACACAATTGTGCACAATTTTGGGGGACCCGTTTTGGCTCGTGAGCGCTACTTTCAAAACTACTAGCTGAAATCATACAAAACCTTTAACACATATTTAACCTACGACGGGCTAACTGCTTTAAGGCTAACCCGTCTTTCTCTCTGTGCATGTGTTCAGGTATGACGCGGGGAAGGACGGCTTCATAGACCTGATGGAGCTGAAGCTAATGATGGAGAAGCTGGAGGCACCACAGACCCACCTGGGCCTGAAGAACATGATCAAGGAGGTGGACGAGGACCTGGACAACAAGCTGAGCTTCAGAGAGGTGAGACAAAACAGAGACGAGAATGAAACGACATGGCACCAAGCACTCGCCCTTCCTACTGTATCTTATAACTTGTAACACCTGTATTTGTGTGGAAGATGAGTGAGTGGTGCAAGCTCTGTCAAGTTTTATGAAGTTTAGTGATGTTGCTTTTGTTCTATGGGTTTTTTATGCAATCCATTTTGCTGCTTGTATATGTATATAAAAAATAATATTGATCAGTGATCACAAAAAGAGAACCTGTATGGATTCTTGTCTGACTCCACTGACAGTCCTCTCTCGCTCTCCCTCTCCCTCTACCCTCTCTCCCTCCAGTTCCTCCTGATCTTCAGGAAGTCGGCAGCAGGGGAGCTAGCAGAGGACAGCGGTCTCAGTGTTCTGGCTCGGCTATCAGAGATTGATGTGTCCACTGAGGGAGTAAAGGGAGCCAAGACCTTCTTTGAAGCCAAAGTGAGTTCAAGTTCTGTTCCTCCATGTCCGAGGTTGGTTGTGCGCCGCCCTCAGCACAAGCATGAGATAGAATCCCATTCTCATGGCTCTTCTACACTGTTTCCCTTCTATCTGCCCTTTCATTCATGTTGATCCTTTTCAATAAATAAACAAGAAGAAATACAACCACTTTATTGAATTGACTTGATACGTTGGTTTATTAGTGATGTTTGTAGGCCTATAAGATTAAATGAAGGGTAGGCAAAACCAAAAATGATAACAATGAAGCAGTAGTAATAAATCTCCCTTCCACAGGTGGCGGCCGTCAATGCAGGCAGCCAATTCGAGGCGGAGATCCGGCAGGAGCAGGAGGAGAAGAAGAAGCAGGCAGAGGAGAAGAAGCAGCGGCAAGCTGCCTTCAAGAACCTCCAGTCGGCCTTCAAATAACCACCTCTTCCTCAGCTCTCCTACAGCCCCAACTGTCCCACCTCCACTGTCCGTCTGTCTGTTTGTCCGTCTGTCCCTTGTGATTTTTCTGCCTCCATTTTGAAATCTGGTCATAATATGCAAGTTGCTGGTAGTCTGTCTAGGGTTAGTCCCTGTCCCTGAGAGAGGAGCAGTTCTATTCTGCTGATTTCCCCATTGATTTGACCTGACAAGTAACAAAGAACTACACATTCAGGGTTGTGCAGAGACCGTTTTACTGTTCTTGTCATGTTGAGTAGACTATTATTCCATTGTTCCTTTCTCAGTCCGGCACTGATTTTAGGCCATAGCCATGCCAGAAACTGTGATACAATGGATTGGATACATGCTGGAGACACATGATGAGAATAGATCTGTGATGCAATGTCTCTCCTGTAGATTATACGGTTATGTGCCACACTAGCGTCAGTCTTGATTTTAGCTCTGTGTTTTCTGTTGTGACTGGGGGAATGTGAATGAAACTAGGAATGCATTTTTAGTAATGTGATGTTGTGAACAATTAGGATTGCATTTTAACAGAACGTTATTTACTTATTGTTGATTCCAGTGAATCTGAATTGTGAACGTGTGTTCTGAAGTGGTCTTATCCAATCCATTGTGTTACTTGGTACCAGTGACAATTTTGCGCTATACATGTAATTTCCTGTAGGAAGCGCTTTCTCAAAGACACAAAAGTTGTACCTATGGTGTAAGAGAAAATCCATCTGTGCACACTTCTTTCCAGACACTCGATCCCATTCTAGAAGAGTAGATGCGGGGGGGGGGGAGGCAAATGGTGGCGGAGAACCTTTTTATTTACCTGGTCCTGGGGTACTCCTGTGTATGTTTGTTCATTCTGCTGTTTAGTCTGGTTTTTTAGGACAATTGATGGTCGAGTTAGTTTTCTTGCAAAACCAACACATACAGGGGGATACTAGAGGACAGGGTTTCTGAAACAATGGTCGACCACTCACCCCTGCTCACACCCAGCTCCTGCTGTAAAACCGAATGTGTGACCAGTCGGTATCCAGCAATCCCATATTGTCAAAGCTTTGCATATGGAACTAAGTAAATTCATGCACTTGACATCAAATAAACGTTTGCTCAAAGCAACAAGCTGTCAACTAGACCCCAACCCTTTGAGCACATGGCAAAACTCTGAGGTGAAAATATGCTTTCTGTAGTGATGCATAACTTCACCTTTGAACTATAGACTGAGGTTGCAATATGAAGTGTGTGGCACTCTAATGCTCTGTAGTATAGTAAATGGCTATCTATTATCGTTTTGGAATATAGTTTGAGATATGCAATCAATTTGGCCTTTTCAAAGGGTTGACTTAAAACAGAGCTTTGATATGCTTCAATTAAACCTTGTTTAATGCAAATGCAGCTGTAGACTAAATTCAAATGTATTAATCGATTTATTGGACAGTGGTAGAAAGTAGTCTATTTGGTCATATCATTCATGTTAGCCCCCGTCCAGGAAATGTAATGCATTTTAACTCAACCTAGCTACTTTAAAAAGGAGCAGAATGAGAGTTTAACATAAAATGAGGGAAATGGTTGTACGTTTTCAGCATACGTTTGCGAGCTTCCAATGTAGTGTTAATAAAGGGGTATTAACGGGTGATATCTGGCAGCACATCACAGTACAACTGAGAGGTTGTACATAAAGAATACAATATTTTTTCATGACAATATACATTTACAAAAATGCTTTTAGTTTTGTATGGTGAGGGGTTCTGTGACATGTTCTGCATTATGGGTGTTGTCCACAAGCGGGTCTCCTGGTAAAAATAAAAAAAAATGGTGTATCCACTGGTTACTCCACTTCCTGGTGATGGGCGTTTGGCCAGTTGTAATTCTGTGAGTGATTTAAGAAAAAAGGGTTTATTTTCCGATGTGGAGACTAGTTTGTGAACAGTGATTCTGTGTCAAATGTCTTTAGATGTTGTCAATAGTGAAAACCTGTAGGTTTCTTCCACAGTTCATTGGACATGCAGTTTTGTCCATGCTCTGTGTCCTATTCTGTCCTGTGAACTAGACTAGAGATGTGATTCCATGAGGCATTCTCGCACTACGTCACTCCTCCTCTTCGGATGTACCTTCACCCTGTTCTGACGGAGTGAAAAAGTGGGGTGGAACAAGCCTGGTCCCAGATAAGCATGAGCTGGATAACCTTCACAATAGGAGTTGCCTAATACACTTTTAAACAGTTCTGGGACCAAGCCAGGGTGCAGTGGAAACACGGTGGAGACCACACTTGTTTCTGTCATTCTCTCTATTGTCATTCCTCTTCTTTTTTCTTTTTCTCCCACGTCTTGATTTCTTCTGTCTTCTTCATCATTACCAGGGGAAATTGTGCCAAATGTTTATGTTGTCTACCTACCATTCCACTGTCAAGTCAGGGATTTAAATGTTGTCTTTATTACATTCGAGGAAATCAGTCTATTGACCATGTAATAGGAGATTTAGATTTAGCATGATGAACTGGTGATGCTCAGGGTACAATATAGTAAAGTAATGCTACATTGTACCATACGTTAGCTCCTCTCTGTCGGGCTGTAATGATAATACAGCAGCTGTGAGGTAACAGTAGGGCAGGGAAACATCCACATGCTTCTGTGTCTCTGACTTTAAATGGCAGTCTTCAAAGGCTTCATGTTAAGACCCAGACTCGGTTTGAAAAGTTGGAGGAGTTTGGATATTTGAATATTTTTCACCAGGTTTTTGTCTGTCGCTTAGATCTGTCCTACATTTTTTCAAGGTTCCATTTTTCCAGATCCTTTGTTTGTGATTTTACTTGCAGGCATCATCAAAATTAATCTGTTTTACATTGTGATGAAAGTTATTACATTGTCTTGTAGGCTGATGATGATAAAATATGTGGCTATTCTATAATACACCTTTTATTTTAGATTTTCTTACTAAAATGTATGATTATTCTTGTGGCAATAAAAAAAACACATTTGAAACGTGGTTACTTGTGTGTTATTTTCACTTTGTGGTTAGTGTAGGACTTGCTATTCTCTAATCCAGTGAGATTGAAATAACCTTTTTGAATTTGACATTTTATTCAACACCATATGATCTGCAATCTATTCTCTCTGTTACAGTGGATTTTAGAGTGGACCAACTTTGCATTTCCACAGTAAAAATGCTTCATACTTGTATACTTAAACACCTGTCATGTCACAGCCTTTATCCTTCCAAATTAATTGTCTGTCATTGTTTAATTACACCGTTCTAACCAAAGCTTGAGTGAAACAGTGCCCTCGTGTGTCGACAATGAGGATGTGCAGTTTGAGGGCAGTTTGGTAAATGAGAGTAGCATGTTCACTGCTCTCGGGTGACTGCACACTCGATAGTATCGTTGTCAATCAGGTAGAGGTGATGGTTACTGTTTTCAGACGAGAGCTTCTTCATGAAGCAGTGGCACAGTTCAGGTAGGTGGGAATTAACTATTCAGCCTCTTTCTAGAGTAGTTAGTTCTAGGAACTTGTGCACAAGTTCTGGTCTGTTTTTGTTTTTGTTGGTTGTTAAATCATTGGTGTGTAATCAAGGTTGTTGTAAATTCAAGCAAATGCTAAAAATGGCCAAGGATGCAACAAATTGTTAGAACTAGCAAGTGTTGAAAAATCAGTCCTGCAATGGGTTGAAAGTCACGTTTGTGAATAGTATTTTGTTATAACCCATTACTTTACCTTTGTATACAAAATAAATAATTTACTTACTGAGTGATTACTCTGTTGCTATGTTCGGAATGTTTACCAAAATATCTACAATTGTTAGATCTATACAACAAAAATTCATGCAGGTTTGACAAATGTATACGTTTGTGTATGCATTGCACAATGCATTGTACTATAGACAACTGTCCTTGTGTTTGAATTGAGATGTTGTTGATGTTGGCAGCCAGTTGTGATCAGGCTTAGAATATTATTTTAAAAAAAATGTATTTTTACAATTGATTTAAAATAGTTGTGTAAATATATCTAAATCCTCACTCACTGACTCAATAGATTTGATTTATCCCACTGGGCACAGATCACATTTCAACATCTAGTTTAGATTCACTAAAGTGAAAACAGAAAATGCATATCCGCTGGATGTAAGGGTGCTGAGGGTGCTGCAGCACCCCTGGAAAAATCAGAAGGAAAAAAAGAACACAAGTTGTGCACTGGGCCTTTACTAGTATTAGCGGCCGATATAGCATCTGCTTTGGCAAAAAAAGGTAGTTGTATAATTAAGAACAGTATCTTGCAGGATTCAATAGTTGGAATTGTAAGAGACATCAAGTGGTTTGTGATGATCTGATGTGATGATGTGCCTCAGTTGATAGAGCGTGGCGCTTGCAATGCTAGGGTTGTGGGTTTGATTCCCATGGAGGACCAGTACGAAAAAGTATGAATATGTATGCACTCACTACCATAAGGTGCTCTGGATAAGAGCATCTACTAAAATGGAAAAGGAATAAGTATTTCAAGAAACTGGAAAACATATCAAGCAAGTATTTTTATATTCCACAGGTATTATCAGATGAACTGTTTTGTACAGATAATTATCAGACTCAAGACCCAATATAAATGTCTTCAGCGAATCCAATCAGTTTTCCACATTGATTCAACGCATCACATAGATTTATTTTTATTTTTATTATGACGTGGAAACAACATTGATTCAAAGTTTTTGCCCAGTGGGCTACCTCAGATTTTATCCTCTCCCTTTCACGCTCTTCTCCTTTTATAATCAGTTGATGCCAATATTGTCATCATATCTCATTCATCAGAGTCATCTCAGTGCCACTGTTTTCCTTCTTTCCTAACCATCCATTTGAATGGGTAATGCATTTGCCCCCTGGATTGAATGAATTATTGATTTACGCTTTAGGGATACCCTATCTCCTCTCCCCCGCTATCATTTCAATCTGTCTCTCCTCTCTGTATCCACCTATCATCACCCCTCCCCCAAACGGACCTCCCGCAGGGTACCAGAATGCAGCAGGAGCTGTGGCTGCGAGCAAAATCTCAGGTGCTGTCCTCCCTCAAGCCTGTGCGCGCCCTGAGAGCCGTGTCCACAGACACGCCCCACCCTGTGAGCTCCGACCCCCATTGCCCCGCCAGAGCCGCTGACCTGCACCAAAGCCCTCCGGCCAAGATGTCCAACGGCGCCCCGTCTCACCGCAATAGCCACAACGTGCCCCCCCACCCCCCGGCCCTTCCGAGAACGCCCAACCTTGGCCTCAGGACCAGAACGCTGAACCACAACGCCCATTCACACACCCACTACCACAACAACAGAGGTCAGTTTTTCCCTATACTATTTCTACATCTTTTGTTTGGATTCTACAAACTCAAAGCTGTATCGGGTATACTCAGGTTGTACATCACACATCAGTGAAATGTTTCTGCTTCACACAATCTTGCTACTGTACATGTGTATACAAACAGCACATGTGCATGTATTTCTATTGAACATTTACATTTCAACAGGTATACTATAACAGGGCACCATTGGAGGCTGGTGGGAGGAGCTATAGTAAGACTAGCTCATTGTAATTGCTGGAATGGAATCAATGGAACGGTATCAAACACATCAAACAAATGGAAACCACGTTTGATTCCATTCCATTAATTCCATTTCCCCTGCCTCTTCAGCAGAGCACATGATATGGTCATAGTTTAGTCAGAAATGAATGGATGTTGACATTGTCTGTACTGTATTTTCCAGATAATGGCGTCAAAGCAGAGTTCAACCGCAGCAGCTCTGCCGAGGGCCCCTCGGGGCCACAGGCCAACCCTATCAAAGCCTCCAGGACCCATCATGAGCTGCATAAGGAACTGCTGCTAGCCCACAAAAAGTAGGGACCACCATAGATATGAGGGGAGTTCATAAGCCCCTTCCTTATACTCGGGCTCCCGAGTGGCGCAGCGGTCGAAGGCACTGCATCTCAGTGCTTGAGGTGTCACTATAGACCCCCTGGTTTGATTCCAGGCTGAATCACAACCGGCCATGATTGGGAGTCCCATAGGGCGGCGCACAATTGGCCCAGCGTCATCCGGGTTTGGCCGGTGTAGGCCATCATTGTAAATAAGAATTTGTTCTTAACTGACTTGCCTAGTTAAATAAAGGTAAAAATAATAAAAAATACAAACTGTCATTAGGGCACACTGTAGCAAAAAGCTTTGGAACAGAAAATGAAAACAACCGTTTCTTATTGGACAAGTTCAGGTAATAGTCCCTCCCTGTTTCACTCTATTTTCTTCCATTTGGTGCCTTATTCGGTAACCTCTAGAAAGCAGAGCTACACTACCTTTCACCTGAGTATCCCTTCTCCCATGGTTGATTCATCAAATATGAATGACGGAATCTCACAGACTGCAATAGTATACCCTCTATGGTGCTCTGTTTCTTTCTAGGCCACGGGGAGCCCAAACCAGAGTAAAGTGATATTGTCTTAAACAATGGCTGACCTGACCCCACCCAACGTGACCATCTTGATATCAAATACTGTAAAGCTTGAATCAGTCACTATGCCATTGGTGCGAATGATTTGTGAAAGTGAAACCTTAATCGCCATGAGTAACAATTGTTTGCTACATACATTTGAAGCATCAAAAGGTTAGGTTATTTGGTCATGAAAACTCTTGTTCCTATTTCTGAGTGTACCTCAAACCTCTCCACTGTTTTTCCATCACTAATAGGCAGTGGTGTAAAGTACCTTAGTAAAAATACTTTATTTATATTTTTGACAACATTGACTTTTAATCCTAAATACATGATGTACTTTTTACTCCCATACATTTTTCCTGACACCCAAAAGTACTCATTACATTTCGAATGCTTAGCATAACAGGAAAATGGTCCAATTCACACACTTATCCCAACTGCCTCTGATCTGGCGGACCCACTAAACACAAATATTTCATTTGTAAATGATGTCTGAGTGTTGGAGTGTGCCCCTGGCTATCCGTAAATTAAAAAGAAAACTAGAAAATTGTGCCGTCTGGTTCGCTTAATATAAAGAATTTGAAATGATTTATAGCATTTACTTTTAGTTTTGATACTTAAAGCTGCAATATGTTACTTTTTGGGCGACCCGAACGAATTCACATAGATATGTTATAGATCTGTCATTCTCATTGAAAGCATGTCTAAGAAGCGGTATATCTGTTCTATGTGCAATATTTCTATGCTTCCCGTTCTTGTCACGCTCGTTTACAGACGGAACAGACCAAGGCGCAGCGTGATATGCATACATGTTTATTTATATTGAATAAACACCACGACAAAACAACAAATGAAACGAAACGTGAAGTCCAAGGTAGACAAACAACATACCTCACACGGAACAAGATCCCACAACCCACTAGTGCCAATAGGCTACCTAAGTATGGTCCCCAATCAGAGACAACGAGCTACAGCTGCCTCTGATTGGGAACCACACCGGCCAACATAGATCTACACGATCTAGATCTAAACATAGAAAATGCAACATAGAACATACCACACAGAAAAATACACCCCAAAGGTGCGGACTCCGACCGCACAACATAAACATAACAGGGTAGGGGCCAGGTGGGCATTCCGCCTCGGAGGCGGATCCGGCTCAGGGCGTGACGATCACTTACTCTCCGCCTCCCTGTTGCGCCCCTGGTCTGGTCTGGACCTCGGCGCGCTGCTTCCCCTCTCCTTCCTCCCACGAAGTACCAAGCCCTGTCTGGACCCTGGTGTAGGAGACCCCGAACCTGAAGAGGGGCTGACGTCTGGGTCTGGACTGGAGCCGCTGACCGGAGCTGGACCGGGCACCGGTGGAGCGGACTGCACAAGCTCCAGACTGGAGCCGCTGACCGGAGCTGGAAAGGGCACCGGTGAAGCGGACTGCTCTGGCTCCGGAGTGGAGCCGCTGACCGGATCTGGACTGGAACCCGGTGGAGCGGACTGCTCTGGCTCCGGAGTGGAGCAGCTGACCGGTGCCGGACCAGGCACCGGTGGAACAGGCACGGGCCGTGCCGGACTGGACACACGCACCACTGGCTTGGTGCGGGGAGCAGGAACGGGCCGTACTGGACTGGCGACGCGCACCACTGGCCTGGTGCGGGGAGCAGGAACAGGCCGGGCCGGGCTGTCGACGCGCACCACTGGCTTGGTGCGAGGGGCAGGAACAGGCCGGCCCAGGCTGGCGACGCGCACCACTGGCTTGGTGTGAGGGGCAGGAACAGGCCGGGCTGGGCTGGCGACGCGCACCACTGGCTTGGTGCGAGGGGCAGGAACAGGCCGGGCCGGGCTGGCGACGCGCACCACTGGCTTGGTGCGAGGGGCAGGAACAGGCCGGGCCGGGCTGGCGACGCGCACCACTGGCTTGGTGCGAGGGGCAGGAACGGGCCGGGCCGTACTGGGAACCCGCACCACTGGCTTAGTGCGGGGAGCAGGAACGGGCCGGACCGGACTGGCGACACGCACCACTTGATTGGTGCGAGGAGTGGGACTGGGTTCCTTCATTAACCCCCGCTCCTTCTGCTGCCTAACCAGCTCCTCTCGCCGTGCCTCTACACTTTCCTTCTGCTCCCTCTGAACCAATGGCCCCCGTAATCTGGTGGCCTCCTCTACTAACCAGCGGATCCGCCCTGTCGCGGCCTCCTGCTGCCTCGTCGTCCACACCGTGTGCCCCCCCAAAAATTTTTTGGGGGGATTGCCTCTCCACCCTGATCAGGGCCTCCCTCTTTCTTGCCAGATCCTCTCTCATCTCCTGCCAAGTCCATCCTCTCTGCTCCTCCTCGGCACACTGCTTGGTCCAGGTCTGGTGGGATCTTCTGTCACGTTCGTTTACAGACGGGACGGACCAAGGCGCAGCGTGATATGCATACATGTTTATTTATATTGAATAAACGCCACGACAAAACAACAAATGAAACGAAACGTGAAGTCCAAGGTAGAAAAACAACATACCTCACACGGAACAAGATCCCACAACCCACTAGTGCCAATAGGCTACCTAAGTATGGTCCCCAATCAGAGACAACGAGCTACAGCTGCCTCTGATTGGGAACCACACCGGCCAACCTAGATCTACACGATCTAGATCTAAACATAGAAAATGCAACATAGAACATACCACACAGAAAAATACACACCCTGACTCAACAAATACGAGTCCCCAGAGTCAGGGCGTGACAGTTCTTAAGTTTCATTTTTGCGTCTTTTACTATTGATTTTGTACACTAGCTTCAAACAGCTGGAAATACAATATTTTTGGTTATGGAAAATATATTTCACAGCGGTTTAGAAGGTACAATGATTCTCTGCACTATACTTGTTTGTTTTGTCACATAAACTGAAATCAGGTGAACTATTAGAATTTTAGCAACCTGGAAATGGCGGAGTGATTTCTGCATAGTGCATCTTTAAGCATATTTACTCAAGTAGTATTTTACTGGGTGACTTTCACTTTTACATTTTCGATTAAGGTATCTTTACTTTTACTCAAGTGCAGTGCCGTAAAAAAGTATTTGCCCCTTTCTGACTTTCTCTGTTTTTGCATATTTTTGACACTGAATATTTTTTGTATCTTCAAACAAGACCTAATATTTGATAAAGGGAACCTGAGTGAACAAATAGCACAACATTTGGATAATTATTTCATTTATTTTATAAACAAAGTTATGCAACACCCAATGCCCCTGTGTGAAAAAGTAATTGCCCCCTTACACTCAACTGGTTGTGCCACCTTTAGCTGCAATGACTGCAACCAAATGCTTCCTGTAGTTGTTGATCAGTCTCTCACATCGCTGTGGAGGAATTTTTCTTCCATGCAGAACTGCTCATTTCAGGTCCTGCCACAACATCTCAAACGGGTTTAGGTCTGGACTTTGACTCAGCCATTACAAAACTTAAAATGTGTTGCTTTTCAGCCCTTCTGATATAGACTTGCTTGTGTGTTTTGGATTATCTTCTTTCTGCATGACCCAGCTGCGCTTCAGCTTCAGTTCACGCACAGATTGCCTGACATTCTCCTTTAAAATGATCTGATACAGAGCAGAATTCATGGTTTCTTCAATGATGGCAAGCCATCCAGGTCCTGAGGCAGCAAAGCATCCCTAAAGCAACACACTGTCACCACCTTGCTTGACCATTGGTATTAGATTCTTACTGCGGAATGCAGTGTTTGTTTTTTGCCAGACATAATGGGACCCATGTCGTCCAAAAAGTTCCACTTTTGACTCATCTGTATATAGAAGATTCTTCCAGGAGTCTTGAGTCTACTTTTTGGACGACATGGGTCCCGTTATGTCTGATGAAACCCAAACACTGCATTTTGCAGTAAGAACCTCATACCAACTGTCAAGCATGGTGGTGGTAGTTTATGGTTAGGCGATGCTTTGCTGCCTCAGGACCTGGGTGACTTTCCATCATTGAAAAAACCATGAATTCTGCCTCAAGCAGGACCTGAAACGAGCAGTTCATGCTCGAAAACCCACAAATATCGCTGAGTTAAAGCAGTTCTACATGGAAGAGTGGGCCAAACTTCCTCCACAGTGATGTGAGACTGATCAACAACTACAGGAAGCGTTTGGTTGCTGTCATTGCAGCTAAAGGTGGCACAATCAGTTATTGAGTGTAAGGGGGCATAACTTTGTTTATTCAATAAATGAAAGACATGTAAGTATCCAAATGTTGTGTTATTTTTTCACTCAGGTTCCCTTGATCTAATATTAGGTTTAAGTTGAAGATCTGATAACATTCAGTGTAAGAAATATGCAAAAATAGAGAAAATCAGAACGGGTTAAATACATTTTCACCGCACTGTATGACCATTGGATAATTTCTCCACCATTGCCAATAGGCCTAGCAAATCCTCAAGTCAAGCACTTGATGATGTACCTAGCCACATACTACTGTATTTAACACTCCAAAATGAACCCATTAGGTACACCCCAAGCCACTAATATACATTATGTGTATTAAGGACTCTGGGTACACCCACTTAATTCTTCCTAGGTTACCTGTTTTGACTGAAAAGGGACAATAGAGCCCGACAGTGGAGGTGTCATAATGCCCATAAAACCTAGCCTTCAAACGTTATTAAAACGTCACCTCCTTTTCCCTATCTCCTCCTCCTTTCCCTTCCCTCTCCCCTTCCTCTCTCTCCTTTTCTCCCCACCTCCTTCGCTCCCTCCCCCTCTCTCCGTCTATGGGCCCAGGGGTAAGGCCCTGTGCAGTAAGCCTGAGCTGCAGCAGGTGCTTGAGAGGCGTAAGAAGGAGCAGACTCAGAAAGAGGAGGGAGACCAGGCCAGGACTCCGCTGGAGGAAGTGCTTCTGAAACGCCAGCAGAAAAACACTGAGGTGAGTGGGGAACGCTACGGTAGCCTATCCCATCTCACACAGCCCACACCTGGGTCATGTTCATTAATAAACAAATGGAAGAAAGCAGACTGAAACAGGGAAGGACTACATGTACTTGTCCAATAAGAAACATACATTTTCCATTTGTTTTGGTATGGGGGGTAGTTTAATTTTAGCACACAGGTAGGCAAAACACTACCAGGATACACTTCCAAACTCCATCCCAGCACCAACCAGGTCAAGGGCTGTGCTCTGCCAGGAAGCCTTCATAAGCACAACAGGTGGGGCCAATCAAGACGATTGTGACTCAGTGTGAGAGAGGTGGCAGGAAGCCTCTCAGCCTGCCTCTATTTGTTTTGCATTACCTTTAGTTTTTGGCATGCCTCTAGTGTTTTTTCCTTTTTGTACATATTTATGTTTTGTCACCATCTGAACAAATAATACTCTGCTTGGACTGGCCGACCATGGGAGTCATGACTGAGCTGGCCCGGAATAAGTGGAATGGTCTCAAATACATCAAACGCATGGTTTCCATGTGTTTGATTCCATTCCAATTGCTCCGTTACAGCCATTATTCTGAGCCGTCCTCCCCTCAGTAGCCTCCACTGCATTCAACACCTGGTAGCATATGCTTACTTTTCACCTTTATGCACACATCAAATCAGGTTACAGACCATGCAGACCATGCCTAAGACCCCTAAACATAACGAGTGCAGCTAAGTCAGTAGGCTAGTTATTGGTTTCGTAACACATTGCAAAAAATGTCAAACGTTTTCCGTTGTGTGCCCTGATGAACACGAGCCTGACACAGCTTCCAACTCATGTCTAACATAGTTCATAACACAAAACGGACACAAAATGCATCTTGTCTCGATCTTTCAGTAAAATGCTATGGACAACTTTAAATAAAGTTTGAATTGATATGCTATACCGGTGCTGTTTCCATTTCTCCTGTCTGACAGAGGGAGAAGCACGAAGGGGAGAGAGTGCAGGAGGAGGCCCAGCTGTTGGAGTTTGTCAGAGTCCGACAGAACCTGAAGAAGATCCAGGCTTTCCACAAGGCCACAAACTCTTGAGTTAGTTGTGTGGATGGACTTGGAATAGACTGACAGACACAGAATAGACTGTTGTACTGTATGTTGCCTGGGAAAGGACATGAATCAGCATTGACTCTCTCCCAACTTCTCCAAAATGGCTTCCTTCCACGTCTAATGTCCCACACATTGACAATACTGCGTTTGTGTGCAGAGTCAGAAACTCAAACAATATCACTGGTTCGATTTGAAGGCATAAGGATACCATGAACATGGAAATATTTTAAACCAAGGACAAACATTGACAAATGTTCTCATTTGAACTAGCAGTGGGGGAATAAAAAAACTATATTGCTGTTCAATGGGTCAGTCAAAAGGGTCTGGATCTATGGTTGTGATGTTAGGACTCAGGACAGTATTCAGTCAATTGTGGATATAAAAGGGTACTTTAGAATGGAGGAAAATGCAGTAGAAAAAAGACAGTTGTAGATGTTGTCCTTTGAGTTTGATCATGTATACAATACCCTTTTCTTGTCTTTTTGCTGTGGAGCTCAAATTAGCCAATGTCAGTATTGTGAGTTTAGGCAAGTGTCTCTATCAGTCTTTTTCAGTCAGATGGGGAAAAAACTGGGGCTGTTAGCTTTTTCCCATGTCAGACAAATGAAAATGTTGTTGTAAAGCACGGCAGGTGCTATATTATGCATAAGTTAATGAATTAAGTAACTTATGTTCCTAAATAATGGTATATTTTGTGTTTCTTTATTCAAATAAATAATGAACTGTGTTCACTTATTCTACAGTACATAACAGTGTTTTAAATGCTTTTGAATAGCCCTGTAGTTATGCATCTGATGTTTCTAAAGCATTGCAATTACAGTATACAGTGTGTTGGCATTTGATACTGTAGACAATAGACATACCTTGTAAGCTAAATAAATAAAGATACAAGTTTGTATTAGTTAGAAGTCATTGAAATTTAGACTGTAGGAACTAAGCTCCTTGATGCATTGAGTAGCCTTTCTTTATTCATAGTTAAATGCTGATTTTCAATGTCATGTATGCTGCCTGGATAATGTTATGCCTTCAAATGTTATTTGTCATACCATAATGGTGGTGGCTACAGTATAGGAAGGCAGGTTTACCAAACAGAATGTCCATTATCAGACCTTGGGGGGGATATGCTGATGTTATTGGTTTAGCCTAGGCCTACTATAAACGTTTCTAAACCCAGAGGTGCAACACAGAGACTTCTTAGAACGCTTGTGAAGCAGACAAAGATGGAGGATAAATGAAGACAGTTCACTCTGGCCGTTTACCTTTTTTTTTTATGGTCAGTTCCAGTCTACTCAAAGGTGCAATATGCAGAAATCGCTCCGCCATTTCCTGGTTGCAAAAATTATAGTAGTTCGCATAATTTACATTTATGTGACAAAAGAAGCAAGTATAGCTTAAATAATCATTGTACCATCTAAACCTTTGTGAAATATATTTTCCATAACCAAAAATATTGTATTTTCAGCTGTTTGAAGCTGGTGTACCAAACCGAAAGTAAAACACTAAAAAAACTAAACAGGTTGAATAGAAATAGCGCACATAGAACATATCTACCGCTTCTTAGACTTGCTTTCAATGCGAATGACAGATCTATAACTCACTATGTGAATTTGGTTGGGCGCCGAAAAAGTTACATATCACAGCTTTCATTTTCTCGAAAGCTAAATGCACAACCTAGGTTCGTGCCAATGTCTTAAGTAACTGAACATGTTATTACAGGGCAGACAACCCTGAGGCTACGTCTGAGGACAGGAACAAGTACAAGAAGTCCAGCTACGGCCTCCGCAGAGTCATCAAACGAACAAAAGGACAATATAGGAATAAAGTGGAATCATATTACACAGTCGCATGTGGCAGGGGCTACAGTCCATTACGGATTACAAAGGAAGATCCAGCCGTGGCGGTCCCGTGTAGCTCAGTTGGTAGAGCATGGCACTTGCAACGCCAGGGTTGTGGGTTCGATTCCCACGGGGGGCCAGTATGAAAATGTATGCACTCACTAACTGTAAGTCGCTCTGGATAAGAGTGTCTGCTAAATGACTAAAATGTGAAAAATGTGATCTGCCTAATGATGCCTTTGCCAGATGAACTCAACGCATTTTATGCACGCTTCAACAATAACAACACCATACCATGCATGAGGTTCCCCCACTGAACTAGAGGACTGGGTGATCCATTTTGCTCTCCGAGGCCAACGTGAGTAAGGTCTTTAATCAGGTCAACACTTGCAAGGCCACGGGGCCGGACGGTATTCCAGGGCGCAGGCGCATCCACATCGACGGGGCTGCATGTAGCGGGTTCCTCGGGGTCCAAATCACTAAGGACTTAAAATGGTCCACACGCGCACAGTTGACAGCGCCTCTTCCCCTTCAGGAGGTTGAAAAAGTTTGGCATGGGCCCTCAAATCCTCAAAAAGTTCTACAGCTGCACTATTGAGAGCATCTTGACTGGCTGCATCACCGCCTGGTATGGCAACAGCACTGCCCTCCATCACATGGCGCTACAGAGGGTGGTGCGGACATTCCAGTACATCACTGGGGCCGAGCTCCCTGACATCCAGTATCTCTATATCAGGTAGTGTGAAAGGAAGCCCCGGAAAATTGTTAAAGACTCCAGCCACCTACGCCATAGACCGTTCTCTCTGCTTCCGCACGGCAAGCGGTGCTGGTGCATAAAGTCTGACACCAGCAGGCTCCTGAACCGTTTCTATCCTGAAGCCATAAGACTGCTAAATAGCTAACAAAATGGCTACATGGACTATCTGAGTTGACCCTTGTATTTATTTTTTATTCATGCACACACACAGGACTCTACACACTCACGCACACTGACACTCCAACACACACATAACATGAACACACATTTATACTGAGTCTACATACATACACGCACACACATACAATCTTCATTTACGCTGCTGCTACTCTGTTTATCATACATGCTGATACCTTGTGACCTTACACCTATACATACTGTACATGTCAGCAGGGATGGTAATTAAGCTAGCCTGAGGCTAGTACTTTTCAGACTGGGCTAGTAGACAATGTGCCAAACTAGCCTGACACAGCAGTGAAATGTTGCCATTAAAAACATCGCATGGCAAAGATTTAGGACCTGAATGTTTACCGGGCTAGTAGAAATCCTGGTCTGCTGGCCAGTACCCCAAATCCTTATGTTCCATCCCTGCATGTCAGTCCCTTTCAGACGATCCCCCTATCACTGTTGGTCCTCCTCAGTGACCTCATGGCTGAGGGTTTTAACTTTCCTCTTGAGAATTAGAATCAGAAGTACAGTCATATAGCTCATCGCGATACTTCACCTCTTTGGGCAAATGGTACCCTAGACTGTCCTGATCATCTAGTTGAGAATTCCAGATAATTCCTCCATCCCAGCAGAAATGTCCCATCCACATAGTAGGATTTTAGATGTGCAGATAGACCAAAGCCCAGTCTATTTTACCGTTACTATAGTCAAGTCTGTGAGTTATGGTATTTTAATATAAATGTTACCATTTTAGTAATCAACTTAGCTAGCTAGTAAAATGAACTTTTTTTTTGTCTTTCAGATGGGCAGACCGGAAACAACTGCCATTTTCCAGTAGGAAAGAGAAATGGCCTTGTATTTACCAGAAAAGGTAGCTCATCCACCATGACAGAAGAGGAAGATCCAGACTGTTGATTGGGAAACAAGAACAAACAATGAGGTATGAGGATTGGGTGTTGAGGGACCACTTGTCACATTGTCCAAGGTGGGTTTGTGTTATGATAAACAATGTCCAGATAAAGATGTTGATACGGCATTGAACAAATGTGTCTTTGTTTTCCAGTCCAACAGGAGTGCATCCCTCAGGCCATCGGTCTTGGACATCCTGTGCCAGTGTGATCCGAGCGCAAGCGTCCAGTTGTAGAGACTACAGCAGATCAAGCCTGTGGAAGGACAGGTCAGTAACTTATCAAATGTGATTCAACAATGAATTTGTAGATATATCTGCACAGTATTTTTGCCATATTTGTGTATGGTTCTCATGACTTAAGACTGGGTGTTGAGGGACCACTTGTCACATTGTCCAAGGTGTGTTTGTGTTATGATAAACAATGAGTTTTCTGTCCAGATAAAGATGGGGATACAGCATTGAAAAAGACCTACCACTGACCAAATGTCTCTTTGTTTTCCAGTCCAACAGGAGTGCATCCCTCAGACAATCAGGTGCATGGACATCCTGTGCCAGTGTGATCCGAGCATGAGCGTCCAGTTGTGGAGACTACAGCACATCGAGCCTGTGGACTGACAGGTTAGAAACTCATCAAATATGATACAATATAGTGTACAACATTGAATTTGTAGCTGCATCGAAATGTTTACTTTATGTCCCCTTTTCCCCATGTTTTAGACACCCCACGAGAAGCAGTGCATGATCAACGCCACCCTCAGCAAGGAGATCTGCTGGAAGTGATGAACTGTCTCTCACTCAGTGGAGGCTCCTCAGAGTAGGATGGGGAGGACCATCCTCCTCAGTGAATTTCATAAAAATAATTTTTTTTGATAAAACTATACTAAATATAATCACATCACCAAATTTTACATTTACATTTACATTTTAGTCATTTAGCAGACGCTCTTATCCAGAGCGACTTACAGGAGCAATTAGGGTTAAGTGCCTTGCTCAAGGGCACATTAACGTCATTTAGCAGACGCTCTTAGCCAGAGCGACTCACAAATTGGTGCGTTCACCCTATAGCCAGTGGAATAACCACTTTACAATTGGGGGGGGGGGGGGGGGTAGAAGGATTCCTTTATCCTATCCCAGGTATTCCTTAAAGAGGTGGGGTTTCAAATGTCTCCGGAAGGTGGTGAGTGACTCCGCTGTCCTGGCGTCGTGAGGGAGATTGTTCCACCATTGGGGTGCCAGAGCAGCGAACAGTTTTGACTGGGCTGAGCGGGAACTATGCTTCCGCAGAGGAAGGGGAGCCAGCAGGCCAGAGGTGGAT